CCCGGAAGATTCGGATACGTCCAAATTTCCGAAAAAAAAACAAAACTTTTGTCAGAAATTTTCGATTCGGTTTGAAACGGACATTTCTAGGGCTAAGAACCTTTAGGAGGAAGATAGGTGTCCTCAGGTTCCTACTTGATGTTGCTGGAGTATCCCATGGTGACCACCCAACCAGAGGCGGACTGACAACTCATGGAGCCCCCGGGCAATAGGGGATCATGGGGCCCCTGTGTCCTTGCCCAAATTCAAAAAAACCCTATGAAAAAGGTACCAGGGGCATCTCATGGGGCCCCCTACTAACCCCAGGCCCTCAACCAGTGCCGCCCCTGCCCCTGAGCACATTCAAAATGGCCTGCCTGTAACCAGCATCCAAGTTGTTCAAGGAGGGCACCCCTAGGTTCAAGGAGACTAAGGGTCTCCAAGCTATGGCCCTCCAGGTGTTGAGGAACTGCAAGTCCCATGAGGCCTTCAAGACTCTGACAGCCACAGGCAACACTCCCAGAGGCAGAGGCATGATGGGACTTGTAGTATTGGAGGGCCATAGTATGGAGACCCCTGCCCCAGACTGATGATTGATCTGCCCAATCTGACCGCGTGCCCGGCTACTGGAGCACCTTTTTGGGGGGGGCGCACGATTTTGCGCGCATTTCCCGACATCCATAGCCTCAGACCGGTGCCCCATCCACACTCTACGTGTCCTCTACACCCCCGAGGAGCAGAATTTTTGGGGTGTTCTGAGTCTTTCCTCTCACACAGAGAATCGATACATTGTATGTAATAAAAGAATGTTTCCAGATGGAACAGATTATATTTGGGGGTACATACACCCAGGGTCACTTTTTTGGGGGGGTCTGTATAAAAGCATTCACTGCGCAGATGTCTTAGCCATTCACATGGGCACCACCATTGATGGCCCTGTTGTTTGTAACATAATTATCTCCTGTGATCGTCAGCTCCATCCAGTGGCCATAGTCGGTATTTTCCTGAAATAAAAAAAAAACAACTCTCATTATGGCCACTAGATGGAGCTGCTGATCACAGGAGATATTCTATTATAAATGATCCTTGGTGGTGCCCATGATGTGTTCAACATAGAGGACATAGAAGGACATTGCAGGGTTAGGACTGTTCCTTATCATCCCTTCTGATTGGACTGAACAATTTCGGGGGGGGGTTCAGTTTGGTGCTTTATGTTGGTGTTCTACGATTGTATTTTCTTAAAGGACGACCAAAGATGACCAAAGATGACCAAAGACGACCAAAGATGACCAAAGACGACCAAAGACGACCAAAGACGACCAAAGACGACCAAAGACGACCAAAGACGACCAAAGACGACCAAAGACGACCAAAGATGACCAAAGCCGGCTCACGTGATAGCGATCAGATTAACGTGTATTGATTAATTAGGTATGCGTCCGGCGGCAGCTACTATGCTCATTAGATATGCAGACTCCACCTTTTTCCTAATAGCTCAACACAATCGATGGACCTTGCCTCCTATCGCACTGAGGGGTCTGATTGAAGATGGTAAACTCACCGCAGGCTCTGATGTCGTGAAACACACATAATGCTCCTGGTAACCCATAGGATCTAAAAATGGGAAGATCCAGGTCACATGACAGAGCAGCAATTCTTTTTTTCCAACAAATGAAGGAAGAAGACATTTCTTACACACGGCCCCCCCCGACCCAGATCACCGCTTTGGCTTTGTGGCTCATTGCAATGGCTTCGTTTATAAACAAAGGTTTAGGGTTACCATTAGGGTTAGTGTTGGGGTCACCATTAGGGTTAGTGTTGGGGTCACCATTAGGGGTGCTAGCCTAGGGTTGAGGTTAGGGTTACCATTAGGGTTAGTGTTGGGGTCACCATTAGGGTTGGTACATTAGGGTTAAGCTTAGGGTTACCATTAGGATTAGTGTTGGGGTCACCATTAGCGGTGCTAGCCTAGGGTTGAGGTTAGGGTTATTATTAGGGTTAGTGTTGGGGTCACCATTAGGGGTGCTAGCCTAGGGTTGAGGTTAGGGTTACCATTAGGTTAGTGTTGGGGTCACCATTAGGGTTAGTGTTGGGGTTACCATTAGGATTAGTGTTGGGGTCACCATTAGGGTTGGTACATTAGGGTTAAGCTTAGGGTTAGTGTTGGGGTCACCATTACAGTAGTTAACTTAGGGTTACCATTAGGGTTAGTGTTGGGGTCACCATTAGGGTTGTTAGCTTAGGGTTGAGATTAGGGTTACCATTAGGGTTAATGTTAGGGTCACCATTAGGGGGGGGCTAGCCTAGGGTTAAGGTTACCATTAGGGTTAGTGTTGGGGTCACTACTATGGTTGTTAGCTTAGGGTTGAGGTTAGGGTAATCATTAGGGTTAGTGTTGGGGTCAACATTACAGTTGTTAGCTTAGGGTTGAGGTTAGGGTTACCATTAGGGTTAGTGTTGGGTTCACCATTAAGGGGGCTAGCCTAGGGTTAAGGTTAGGGTTACCATTAGGGTTAGTGTTGGGGTCACCATTACAGTTGTTAGCTTAGGGTTAAGGTTAGGGTTACCATTAGGATTAGTGTTGGGGTCACCATTAGGGTTGGTACATTAGGGTTAAGCTTAGGGTTACCATTAGGGTTAGTGTTGGGGTCACCATTATGATTGTTATCTTAGGGTTGAGGTTAGGGCTACCATTAGGGTTGTGTTGGGGTCACCATTAGGATTGTTATCTTAGGGTTGAGGTTAGGGTTACCATTAGGGTTAGTGTTGGGGTCACCATTAGGGTTGGTGTTGGGGTCACCATTAGGATTGTTATCTTAGGGTTGAGGTTAGGGTTACCATTAGGGTTAGTGTTGGGGTCACCATTAGGGTTGGTGTTGGGGTCACCATTAGGATTGTTATCTTAGGGTTGAGGTTAGGGTTACCATTAGGGTTAGTGTTGGGGTCACCATTAGGATTGTTATCTTAGGGTTGAGGTTAGGGTTACCATTAGGGTTAGTGTTGGGGTCACCATTAGGGTTGGTGTTGGGGTCACCATTAGGATTGTTATCTTAGGGTTGAGGTTAGGGTTACCATTAGGGTTAGTGTTGGGGTCACCATTAGGGTTGGTGTTGGGGTCACCATTAGGATTGTTATCTTAGGGTTGAGGTTAGGGTTACCATTAGGGTTAGTGTTGGGGTCACCATTAGGGTTAGTGTTGGGGTCACCATTAGGATTGTTATCTTAGGGTTGAGGTTAGGGTTACCATTAGGGTTAGTGTTGGGGTCACCATTAGGGTTGTTAGCTTACAGTTACCATTAGATGTAATTCACCATTAGGGGGGCTAGCCTAGGGTTAAGGTTAGGGTTACCATTAGGATTAGTGTTGGGGGTCACCATTAGGGTTGGTACATTAGGGTAAGCTTAGGGTTACCATTAGGGTTAGTATTGGGGTCACCATTAGGATTGTTATCTTAGGGTTGAGGTTAGGGTTACCGTTAGGGTTAGTGTTGGGGTCACCATTAGGATTGTTATCTTAGGGTTGAGGTTAGGGTTACCATTAGGGTTAGTGTTGGGGTCACCATTAGGGTTAGTGTTGGGGTCACCATTAGGATTGTTATCTTAGGGTTGAGGTTAGGGTTACCGTTAGGGTTAGTGTTGGGGTCACCATTAGGGTTAGTGTTGGGGTCACCATTAGGATTGTTATCTTAGGGTTGAGGTTAGGGTTACCATTAGGGTTAGTGTTGGGGTCACCATTAGGGTTAGTGTTGGGGTCACCATTAGGATTGTTATCTTAGGGTTGAGGTTAGGGTTACCATTAGGGTTAGTGTTGGGGTCACCATTAGGGTTAGTGTTGGGGTCACCATTAGGATTGTTATCTTAGGGTTGAGGTTAGGGTTACCGTTAGGGTTAGTGTTGGGGTCACCATTAGGGTTAGTGTTGGGGTCACCATTAGGATTGTTATCTTAGGGTTGAGGTTAGGGTTACCATTAGGGTTAGTGTTGGGGTCACCATTAGGATTGTTATCTTAGGGTTGAGGTTAGGGTTACCATTAGGGTTAGTGTTGGGGTCACCATTAGGGTTAGTGTTGGGGTCACCATTAGGATTGTTATCTTAGGGTTGAGGTTAGGGTCACCATTAGGGTTGTTAGCTTACAGTTACCATTAGATGTACTGTTGGGGTCACCATTACAGTTGTTAGCTTAGGGTTACAATTAGGGTTAGTGTTGGGGTCACCATTAGGGTTGGTACATTAGGGTTGAGGTTAGAGTTACCATTAGGGTTAGTGTTGGGGTCACCATTATGGTTGTTAGCTTAGAGTTGAGGTTAGGGTTAGTGTTGGGGTCACCATTAGGGTTCTTACCTTAGGGTTAACATTAGGGTTTGCCTACATTTCATAGACAAGCACAGAGATCCAGTGATGATGATGACATTGACCCCTAACCCTCGACCCAACTCCTACTCTAGCCCTCAACCTAACATCTAACCTAAATTACCTCCTGAACGGCTACATATCTATCTACAGCGAGTATTTCCAGACTGAGGTGGTACCAGAATCTAGTCATTCGCATTATTTTCAGCTCAACCGGAAACTTTAAGGACCCTTTTCTTAAGAAAAAAAAAATCCACCGCCATTCACACAACTGTTTTTTTTTTATTTTTTTACTGTTTATTACAATACTGTCACAAATAAGGTCGATTTGCAAAGAAAGAACTTGATTCTGTAGGCTGCAAGCTACCACAAACCAAGGCCGGAAAATGTATCAGAATCATCAACACAAAATTACTATTACGGGTTTGGCTGACCATAGACTGTCCGATGAAGTCATGTAAGAACTGAGGTAAGTCCAGCAAGTCGAAGAGGAGGGTTGCTGTAGGTCTTCGCTTTACCTGCTTCCAAATTTCTCATCATCCACCTCCTCTCGATGGACACCCTTATAGAGCACCTCAAAATGATTGGATTGCTTTAAAACAGCATGATCGGGAATATTGATTTTAGGCACCTCGTAGTTGAAGGATAGATACTTGAGGAGAACTTTATCTTACATGTTTTTCTTGTGGCACTGATAAAAATGGGGTTTTTGGGTTTCTTGGTACTGCTGTGGGGGTTGTTGGGTTTCTTGGTACTGCTGTGGGGGCTGTTGGGTTTCCTGGTACTGCTTTGGGGGTTGTTGGGTTTCCTGGTACTGCTTTGGGGGTTGTTGGGTTTCCTGGTACTGCTTTGGGGGTTGTTGGGTTTCTTGGTACTGCTGTGGGGGTTGTTGGGTTTCTTGGTACTGCTTTGGGCGTTGTTGGCTAATTGCTGAGCCTTGTTGGATTTCAGAGTAGGAAGGTGGCTGTTGTGAGGGTTGAGATCTTTGACCCAGAGTTGGGGGAGGTAAATATACTGCATGTTGGTAGAACTTCTGGGGTTCCTGTTGGTCTTGTTGCAAGCTACCTTGTGCAGATGTTTGGTCTTTACTCTCCTTGTTAGATTGAGCAGTGGTGATGGAGGTGTCTTGTTGGCTTTGGGACTGGGAAGTAATAGTGGAGTCAGACAGAGTAATCTGATTTTGACTTTGTTGGTAATATCGAGGCTTGGGAGTAGTGGAAGTGGGGGGGTATCGCCTACTTGAGATATTTGGTATATTCCCTGTTTGCTCTGCTGAGAACTGGAGGATGTGGTGGTACCTACTTGAGATGTTTGATCTGATCCCTGTTGGCCCTGCTGGGCACTGGAGGATGAGGTGGTACCTGTTTGATATGTTCCCTGTTGGCTCTGCTGAGAACTGGAGGAGGTGGTACCTACTTGAGATGTTTGATCTGATCCCTGTTGGCCCTGCTGGGCACTGGAGGATGAGGTGGTACCTGTTTGATATGTTCCCTGTTGGCTCTGCTGAGAACTGGAGGAGGTGGTACCTATTTTAGGTGTTTGATCTGATCCCTGTTGGCTCTGCTGGGCACTGGAGGATGTGGTGGTACCTGTTTGATTTGCCCCCTGCTGTTTCTGCTGAGAACTGGAGGAGGTGGTACCTACTTGAGATGTTTGATCTGATCCCTGTTGGCTCTGCTGGGCACTGGAGGATGTGGTGGTACCTATTTGACATGTTCCCTGTTGGCTCTGCTGAGAAGTGGAAGAGGAAGTGGTGGTGTCACCTACTTGGGATGTTTGGTATGTTCCCTGCTGACTTCGCTGTGAGCTGGAGGAGGTGGTACCTACTTGGGATGTTTGATCTGTTCCTTGTTGGCTCTGCTGGGTGCTGGTTGATGAGTCAGTACCTGCTTGACATGTTCCTTGTTGGCTCTGCTGAGAAGTGGAAGAGGAAGTAGTGGTGTCACCTACTTGAGATGTTCGGTATGTTCCCTGCTGACTTCGCTGTGAGCTGGAGGAGGTGGTACCTACTTGGGATGTTTGATCTGTTCCTTGTTGACTCTGCTGGGTGCTGGTGGTGGATGAGTCAGTACCTGCTTGACATGTTCCCTGTTGGCTCTGCTGAGATGTGGAAGAGGAAGTGGTGGTGTCACCTACTTGAGATCTTCGGTATGTTCCCTGCTGACTTCGCTGTGAGCTGGAGGAGGTAGTACCTGCTTGGGATGTTTGATCTGTTCCTTGTTGACTCTGCTGGGTGCTGGTGGATGAGTCAGTACCTGCTTGACATGTTCCCTGTTGGCTCTGCTGGGAACTGGAGGAGGTGGTACCTACTTGGGATGTTTGATCTGTTCCTTGTTGGCTCTGCTGGGTGCTGGAGGATGAGGTGGTACCTGTTTGGTATGTTCCCTGTTGGCTCTGCTGAGAACTGGAGGAGGTGGTACCTACTTGGGATGTTTGATCAGATCCCTGTCGGCTCTGCTGGTCACGGGTGGATGAGGTGGTGATACCTGTTTGATATGTTCCCTGTTGGCTCTGCTGGGAACTGGAAGAGGAGGTGGTGGTACTAACTTGAGATGTTGTGGAATCTGCCTGTGTAGCTGGAGCCTTGCGATCATCAGTCTGAGTTGAGCTATCTTCTGTAGGCACATCAGGATCTCCGCATGATTGGGGGGCACCTGATGTATAGGTGGCACCTCCCCAATATTTGCCCACCACTTTGACCCACACTACTTCTACTTTGGCCTTGGTATGAAGACTGACCTTGAGAGCCGTAAAAAGGCTTGGGGTAGAGAGGATTCTGGTAATATTTAGGAGGGGCATCACTTTTCTGTGATGAATCCTGCGTTGTCTTATCACCTTGTGTGACCGATGAATCTTGTCGGCATGCGGCATCTGATTCATACACAACCTTGTAATAAGTTTTCAGTACTCTGCAGAGAAGGTCACAAAATTCATTGAAGTCCACTTCCCCGTCATTGTTCTCGTCAAGAATTTTAAGCAAAGTTGAGATGGTATTGGGGTCTTTGGGGTTCTGAAAGGAAAGGAAATTGATTTAAAATTTTGGTATAGAGTAACAGTAGCATGAGCGTGTTGAAGACAACTTTCCCTAAAAGATCACTAAGCCCAAGAACAAACTAGACCTTAGATGTAGAGGCTGCATCAGTAATAAGTAAGAGGACCTCTCCGCATGATGAAGTTTCAGGTGTCTCCACTGAAGGGTTCCGTTTGAACTACATCATACAAAGACGCTGTAGACAATTGTGCTCTTACCAGCTTGTGGGCACAGCTTGGTAAAGACCCTTTTCTGTTCCAGCATTACTGTGCCCCTGATACAGTAATAGCTCCATAAAGACATGGTCTGATCAGCTTGGTGTGGAGGAACTTGAGTGTCCTGTACAGAATCCTGACCTCAACCCTACTGAATGCCTGGAACCGGGAATAAAGACTGCCAGGTCTTTTTTTTTTTTGGTGCCCAATGTGAGGCCGATGTGTGAGCCAGGTCTTCTGATCCAACATCATTACCTGACCTCACAAATAGGCACCAATTCCCTTGGCCACCCTTCAAAATCTTTTTGAAAGTCTTCATAGAACATTAGGTAGCTCCCTTGATAGCTGCAAAGGGAGCAACACCATATTAATAGTTATGGGGAAGGGTCAACTGCTTGTTAATGGCCATGAGGTGAGGGGGCAATGCCATGTTAACGGCCATGAGGTGAGGGGGCAACGCCATGTTAATGGCCATGAGGTGAGGGGGCAATGCCATGGTAATGGCCATGAGATGAGGGGGCAACGCCATGTTAATGGCCATGAGGTGAGGGGGCAACGCCATATTAATGGCCATGGTTCTGGAATGGTGTGTCCACTAAACTCATAAAAGCATGATAGCCAATTGTTCACAGAATTATGGCTATATAGTGTAGATCAGGGGTTCTCAACTAGGGTTCCTCAAGAGGTTGGAAGGGGTTCCTTGAGCAATGGCAATTTCTGCCTCTCAGGTAAGTTCCCACTGACACCATTGATCTTTTTATCTTCCTATATGGGGGTAACTCTTCCCAATGACCACAAGTACAAGGAGCATTCTTCCCAACTGATCATCACACTAATGTATCACAAGTTGTAGTCATTTTTAGCGGGGGTTCCCTAAGACTGAAAAATAATTTCAAGGGTTCCTCTGTGTTGAAAAGGTTGAGAATGGCTGGTGTAGATACATATATAGTATAAAAGTTCCATAATGTAGACATTGATGTTGGAGTTCATGGAACTCCTGTCCCGTGCTGTAGGTTGCCCAACCTTGGGTATCGTTGTTAGTTTCAGGGCTGTGCCCATGTATGAGCGAGGTGAGCTCCACCCTTGAACCAACAGCCCTTCCCAACTTTGAGCAACAGCACCCTTCACAACTAGATGCAACCCTCTGCTGGGACAGACAGAGCCCCTTCAAGAGATTTGTCCAATTACAGAATGTCCATCTTACCTTAATGACATCTGCAAACTCATTCTGAATCAGAAGGTTGAGCTCCTGTTTGTTCAGTTTGGCGTGGCTGCAGTCCTGCTTGGCATATTTTTCAAAAACCTCAATAATGTCTTGGACTGACCCGATCAGTTTTGGCATTTTTGCAAATTAAGGTTTTGTCCTACAGGTGGAAAAAAAAAAGATTAGACTTTTTAGGGTCCTTTAGTAGATGAATGTAACTACTTTCACTACCCTGACATTTTCACTTTCCTTTCCCCCATTGTCCTCTCCTCCCATCTCTTCTCTCCCTACCCCACGGACATGGGTGGGGAGATGTAGCTACACCGGAGACGCATTGCCTTTCGAGACAGCCTTCGTTATTGCTGTGTGGCCTCTAATGTCCAGTAGGAAGCTTTGTCCCATTTTTCCAACCAACAATAGAGGTACACTTGGAGACTCCATCCCATTGATATATTCTTCTGGGCTATAGTAGGTCCTGATGAGCCAACTGAGTTGGCCAATTGCAGGTGGCACCAGTAACCCAGTAATCGTTATTGCTGTGTGGCCTCTAATGTCCAGTAGGAAGCTTTGTCCCATTTTCCCAACCAACAATAGAGGTATACTTGGAGACTCCATCCCATTGATATATTCTTCTGGGGTATAGTAGGTCCTGATGAGCCGACTGAGTTGGCCCATTGCAGGTGGCACCAGTAACCCAGTAATCATTATTGCTGTGTGGCCTCTAATGTCCAGTAGGAAGCTTTGTCCCATTTTCCCAACCAGCAATAGAGGTACACTTGGAGACTCCATCCCATTGATATATTCTTCTAGGCTATAGTAGGTCCTGATGAGCCAACTGAGTTGGCCATTTGCAGGAGCACCAGTAACCCAGTAATCGTTATTGCTGTGTGGCCAGTAGGAAGCTTTGTCCCATATTCCCAACCAGCAATAGAGGTACACTTGGAGACTCCATCCCATTGATATATTCTTCTGGGATATAGTAGGTCCTGTGGAGCCAACTAAGTTGACCCATTGCAGTTGGCACCAGTAACCCCGAGCAGAAATCAGCCGCTGTTTTTAAAAATTCACAAGCCTCTAAAATTTGGAATTTCCCAACCAAAATTCCCAACCAATCAAAGCAAATCTGAACCAAAAAAGTGTGTATTCAGGAGCCCCAAATGATTCCAAATTATGCAGAATGATTTGGGAAGCTCCGTCCTAGCAAACCTTCCTGATGAGATGATAGGGCAAAAAAAAAAAAGCCTGAGCTGGTCTTTAAAGTATAACGCCTTAATAAAAAAAAAGTCTATCCATCTGACAGCACATCATTAGGTAGTCACTGATAATTACCAGATTTATATGTGAAATAATAAGTATTCTCTTCCACCCACGTACACACTCCCATTATGAGTGAGCAGGAACGCTTGAATGTGAGCTCTAAATTATTTTATTCGGTAAGACACTAAAACCGAAGATAAAGGTCTTTAGGCTGACCGGTTTTTCAGAAGGTTGGAAGAGAATTGATGGTGAGAGAAGAATTGGTGGTAATTCTGAGCATTTTACGAGACACATAGAATTTTAGGGTAGTGGTCAGACCGTTGTCTCTGATTTTCCACGCTTTGAACCGTAGAGGGTATCTGTTTGAGTTTAGCCCAGGGGCGGACTGACAACTCATGGGGCAATAGGGGATCATGGGGCCCCTGTGTCCTTGCCCAAACTCAAAAAAGCCTATGAAAAAGGTACCAGGGGCATCTCATGTAGCCCTCTACTGACCCCGGGCCCTCGGGCAGTGCCCGAGTTTCCACATGGTCAGTCCGCCCCTGGTTTAGCCTGTGCTGGTCTTGGAAAATTTTAGATTAAAGTTTCCCGGTTCTGCTGACCCTCAGCATCCCATGGAAAAATGTTAGACCTTCTGAAAAGTTTGGCCAAGGTATGACTAGAACAGTCATTCCCAACCAGGGTTCCATGGAAACCCCTAGACTTCCTTCGGAGGTTGCTAGGGATTCCTTGAGCCGCGGCTGACTGACCTCCCATTGGATGGTACCTGCATAGTTGCAAGACCAATGCCATTTGGCAAAGCAAAGAAACATGACACCAACCAACCGACCGCCACTGTAGGGGGTTTTATTATTCCTACTGACTACCCATCAATATGGCATTTTTTTTCCATTTCCCACAGATTAATTTCAGTAAGGGTTCCCCCGAGACCTGAAAATTATTTTAGGGGTTCTTTGGGGATGAAAAGGTTGAAAAGGCTGAGCTAGAACCATGTTAGAGCTTTGTAGAAACATTCAGTATGGGAGACTAAAGAGGACGGCCATTCTCAATCAGGGTTCCGTACAACCCTGTTGCTCCTCAAGACGTTGCTAGTGTTTCCTTGAGCTGTGGACAATTGACCTCCTATCTGATGTTGCCTGCATGGTTCTGGGACCAGAGATAGTGGCATGACACCAATGATCTTTTTATCTATAAGGGTGACATTCCGACCGCCACTGTAATGGGTTTTATTATTCCCACTGACTACCCATCAATACGGCATTTTTTTTCCATTTCCCATAGATTAATTTCAGTAAGGGTTCTCCCAAGACCTGAAAATTATTTTAGGGGTTCTTTGGGGATAAAAAGGTTGAGAAAGGCTGAGCTAGAACCATGTTAGAGCTTTGTAGAAACATTCAGTATGGTAGACTAAAGAGGATGGCCATTCTCAATCAGGGTTCCGTACAACCCTGTTGCTCCTCAAGACGTTGCTAGTGTTTCCTTGAGCTGTGGACAATTGACCTCCTATCTGATGTAGCCTGCATGGTTCTGGGACCAACGCCACTTGGCAGAGCTAGTGGCATGACACCAATGATCTTTTTATCTATAAGGGTGACATTCCGACCGCCACTGTAAGGGGTTTTATTATTCCCACTGACTACCTATCAATACAGCATTTTTCCATTTCCCACATATTAATTAATTTCAGTAAGGGTTTCCCCGAGACCTGAAAATTATTTTAGGGGTTCTTTGGGGATAAAAAGGTTGAGAAAGGCTGAGCTAGAACCATGTTAGAGCTTTGTAGAAACTTTTAGTATGGGAGACTAAATAGGACGGCCATTCTCAATCAGGGTTCCGTACAACCCTGTTGCTCCTCAAGAGGTTGCTAGTGGTTCCTTGAGCTGTGGACAATTGACCTCCTATCTGATGTTGCCTGCATGGTTCTGGGACCAGAGATAGTGGCATGACACAAATGACCTTTAAAGGTGGCATTCTGACCACCACTGTAAGGGAAGCCTTCTTCTCACTGACCACCAACGAGATAATTTCAGCAGAGGTTCCCTGAGACCTGAAAATGATCTTGAGGGTTCTCCTGGTGTAGAGGGGCTGAGAAAGGCTGATATAAGTTGTAGATACTTTTATAGAGTTTATGTCTACGAGGGATCCCACTCAAGCCAAAGACCCCTTTAATGCCTTTAAAAGATTCTTGAACACCGAGCATGCCTCTACAAAAATTTCCCAACACTCTCAGAACATTTATAACGGGAGCCTCTCGAATTTTTGCTTGAATTCACCAAACTGAATTTAGCAGCCCGAAAATGTTTTCTGACATCATCTAAATCTATATCTATTAAAAAAAATATATATAAATTTTTTTTTGAAAACTTGTATTCTGGATTGTAGCCAAGCTATGAGTTCAGGAATGTGTAAAAGCATGCAGGACTTACCTCCTCCACACTGACACAGAGCAGACGGCAGACTAGGAATGACCAATCTCAGTCGGCATTTATAGCGAGAGGGTGGCCTAGTTTTCCCAAAGGAGGCACCTTGTGTCACCTCATTATTTGTGACTTTATGGCCAGCCCATACTCGTTTGGCCGGTACCATCAATTAAGGAGGTTCTGCCTAAAATGAGACAACATGTGTCACCCAGCCCAGAGTTCCAATCACGTCCTGCCACTCAAGGCTTGTCAACAACTTTTCACACGACTCCTCGGGTGGCCAACGTCTGGACCAGGAGGTGGCCCCAAAAAAAGAGCAAAAAAAAAAAGGAAAAGAACAGCTTACACTTTTTTTTTCTACGTAGATTTCTTACAGACGTCTGTTCCAGGTTCTCACATTTGGATGGCGTGAAGAGGCTTTGAGTTTCATCCCAGAAAAAAAAAAGTTCAATCTGCAAGTTTAATTTACCTGTTTATCTAGTTTCATGGATGACCTAATAGATCCTTTGTTTCAGGAAGAAATTGCATACTTTAAATTTCTGAATTTTAATACATGTCATTAGTCCAAAAGAAGATTCGGGACACCTCCCTGCCCCTTGGCCAAAAATATTATGAGGAATTAAAATGTCAAGCCAAAATGTGTTGTTCTGGAAGGCTTGGGGAAGGGTTAAGCTTTTTTCATGAAGCCTATGATAATGGTGTATTTCCACTCACTTCCTGTTCTGTTGACAACCAGACAGGAAGTGAGTGAAAATTGCCGACAGCCGCACAGATAGAAATAAAACTTTCCTTTTTTTTTAGTAGAACAAAAGACGGCGCGAATCCCGGTATTTGAACCAGAAGGAGCCAGATCTCATGTTTGTGCTCTAACTCAGATAGGTCCCCATAAGAGTGCCCCTTTATATTAGGTGTCCCCATCAATCCCCCCTTACATCAGGTGTCTCCATCAGAGTGCCCCTTTATATTAGGTGTCCCCATCAATTCCCCCCTTACATCAGGTGTCCCCATCAGAGTGACCCATGACCAGGGGCGGACTGACCATTTGGAAACTCGGGCACTGCCCGAGGGCCCGGGGTCAGTAGGGGGCCCCATGAGATGCCCCCGGTACCTTTTTCATAGGCCTTTTTGAGTTTGGGCAATGACACAGGGGCCCCATGATCCCCTATTGCCCGGGCGCCCCATGAGTTGTCAATCTACCCCTGCCCATGACATCAGGTGTTCCCATCAAAATGTCTCCTTACATAAGGTGTCCCCATCAGAATGACCCATAACATCAGGTGTCCCCATCAGAATGTCTCCTTACATCAGGTGTCTCCATCACAGTGGGCTGCTACAGTAGGTGTCCCCATGACAGGGCCCCCTGATATTCTGTGTCCCCATCACAGTGCCCCTTTGGTCAGATGTCCCTATGCTCCCTTACATCAGGTTTCCTCATAGCAGTGCCCCTTTATATCTGCTGCT